AACTACAAGCACTGCTTTTATCATCATCATCTTTATCATCATCATCATCATCATTATCAACATCATCATCATCATCATCATTATCATTTTTATCATCATTATCAACATTATTATGATCATCCTCCTCATCATCATTTTATCATTATTATTACTATCATTATTATCATAATCTGGTCACTAAATCCATTCAGGGGACTATGCTATATTTGACAAAAAGAAAAAAGGAACAAAATTCAACACATACTATCAATTTGTTGCATGGAGCTCATGCTGCCAGATCAATTTGGTTGGTCTAATGAATTCTTTGTAGAGTTGTTATAAATTTGAAACTTCATCTGGGATACAAGTATGTAATATATATTGCTTTAAAAGTACAAGATGAAAATACTACTGTATGCATTGTTTTTTAATTACTAACACTTTAATTTTTTTTCAAAGTTTTGTTATAAATGGAATTAATCAAATTATTTTCAGGTTATCAGAGCCACAGAAGTAAATCAAAATACTTGCTGGATTATTAAAATGTAAGAATAGTAGTGGCCATCATATATAATATCCCTATTGTCTTTATTTTTTTTTAAAGGAAGTTTTTCACTCAAAATTAGGGGTGAAAAAGATGTCATTTGTTTTCTTTTGTCAGCAAAGTGTTGAAAGTTACTCAAAACACACATGTGCTGTTTCTTTCATTCCATTCATAGCAACAAGCATGCTTAATACACAGGCTGGTCTGTATTGCTTTTAATTATCAAGTGAAAGCAATGAATTTGATGAAAGAGTGAAATTAATTGATGGTGAAAACATGCATGATATCAAGCATTTATAGATGTACTGCGGAGAGATTTCATGTCATTGCAAGGCTATATTGCTTGCTGTATTTGTATTTAAAAAAGAAGATGACTTTTCAATCTACTTTATCTATTTCTGTACATATATAAATAAATTGAGTATTAATGATGTAAAACATGGCATTACGTGTTCTTGGTCTGCAGTCTTGTAAAGTTGTTAATGAAATTGAATTGAAGTAAATAAATCAAAACTGTTAAGACCTTACAAAATTCATTGAAATTACAATGTTCACAAACTGTATGTTTACATGTATGTACTCATATTTGGGGGACTATCTAAGATCATATTCAATTTCGTTTTTTCTCTGTAATGTTAAAAATACACGTACATGTATGACCACAAATGCATGTTATGTTGGCTCTTTAACATACATTACATAAAGATGAGAGACAAAACACTATTATACATGTAAGTATGTTTACAGTGAATGAAGTGTCTAAGTGTATCACACATGGCATGCTATAATCTACCTCTGTTACAAGTGTGTTGTGCATAAGCAGCTCTTCTGGATACTCTGGATTAGCGTAAAACACAATACACTTATTTCTATGGTAACCAAAGCATTATACCCATTTGCAAGTCTTTCAAATTGCTCTCAGTTGAAAAATAAAGGATTTTAGTTGTGTTGAGAAAGATAACATACAGTCCTAACATAAGACTACAGCTAAATTTTAAACAGTTGTGTTTGAATTCAAGCAATTATTGTTCTTGCACATTTTACAGAAGGAAAACTTGAGAACTGAAGGTGAATGAATAGATACATGTACATGTACAGGTATGCCTGCCAGCATGACTTTGAATGAAAACAAATTAATCAGTCACCAAATTCAAAATACAATAACGGATATATAATTTGACCTACATTCCAAATTTAATATGAAATTTGAGGAATAATACCTTCATGTATATTACTGTTAATATGATGTTCATTATATTCTGACTGAGCATGTTATTATACACTTTCCACAGCAAAGTTTAAAATATTACTGTATGGTGTGCTGTGAGTTGCACATCAATGAAGAGTGTGGCCTTCAATATCTAAAGAATTTTGTGTCCGTTGCTTTAATAAAGCAAATGTTAGTCTATACTGGAATAGGAAGCTTATATGAATTATATATAGCCTATAATGATTCCAACCAATGACTTCATTCAAATGTAGTATCTCTTTAAACCTGTTGGAGACATTGTGTGATGCATTTCCAATGAGGCTCTAAGTTAAGTCTTATAACTTGACATGGCATAACATTCCTCTACTCTATACTATAATCTAATAAACAAACTAAATAAGGGCTCTTCTATCTCACCGCTATGTAATTTTCTTCCAAAATAAGCTCATAATCTAATCTACCATATCTCATTTGTGTGATTGATGACAAACACAGTTAGTTACATGTACCGGCATCAACGTGCTAGCAAAGATTCATCCTTGGCCAAGTTATGAATAATGATTCCAACAGTGCACCTCAACAAGTACAAAGTGTTTGGAGCATTATATCACATTCCTTCTTTCCCGCCAGGCAAATTCAGGGGGTGCAGTAGGCAGGGAGTTCTTAGTTTGATCTCATGTCCTATTCTTTTTATATCTTTTGAATGCCCCAAACAAATTAAAAAATGAACTTGGGGACAACAAGAAAACAATATTAGCATTTATTGTTGTTTTCGTTTCTCCCCCATTTCTCCCTAACTTTACAACATATACCTGTAGCTATATATATATAAAGGATAGATAAACTTCCAATCTTTTTTAAAGTTTTGATGTCTCTCAGCATTAAGAAATGTCATGATATATGTATGTATTGATATCAAACTACAGCATGAGGTTAATCCTAAACATGGCTTGAAAGGGTCATGAGTGTCATATGACATGAGCAAAGTCATGTGACATATCAACCACCCGTCAAAAAACAATAATCATTCAAATTATCTGCATTCTAAAGCTAGAACCAGTATTTCCAATCTTCCGTTCTTTAACCATTTGAAACCTGGATTAGATTTATGAAACTACTGTGTGACCAATTTCATACCGGTAATCACTTATTAAATAGATCTATGGAGCACAAGCTCAAAAGATTATATAAAACATGTTTTGGGATGAAGGTAACCAATGCTGCAGCCTAAGATACCCAAATGGGACACAGCTTACAACAGGAGGCCTTTCACAAAACTTGTCATCGGTGACAAATAACAGTTTTTCAATAAGCTGCTGAAATCCTTGCTTCTAATTGGTTATCAGCAGATTTGTCACTGATTTTAGTCATTTGTCATTGAAAAAAGATTTTGTGAAATGGGTCCCAAGAGTGCAATGCCTTCCAGACCTGTAAGACTTAATCTATGTGTACAGCAAATGTAAAGAGCAGTGAGCAGTGTAGCAAGTGTGTGATGATTGGAAATCATTTTGCTGAGCCAAGACAATACAACAAATTCACATCTTACACAGATTGCAATGATCTGCAGCTCAGTCAATAGCTTATACAAACAACTTTGCTCTCCTGAAACAAAACAGAAAGCTTGTGTTTTGTGAAACAAAGTGAAATTATACAGCTTATTGAAAGAGATAGAGATGCAGTGGTGTCGATATTGAAGCTTTGATTACTATAAAGTAAGCTTGAGCCAAGTGAATGTGAGGGCACACAGAAGAACAGTGAGAAAATAATTCTGCTTAGTTGGTAGGGTGTCACTTCATCAGCAATGCAAGTATGGAGAATGCTCCCAAGCTAGGGTGAACAACAAAATCTTGCTTGGTTTGAAAGGTGAAAGGTGAGTTCATTTGAAAAGAGCAAAGGTCATATCATTCTTTGATCAAACAGCAACAGGGTCAAGAGACATGCACCTTTTTTGTTTTGTTATATAACACAGCAGCCGGAAGAGAGAGCTAACAAGACAAAGAAAAGCAAACTATACGAGTGATGGTTTGAAGAAAAATAACAAAACAGCCATGAATGCAGAGGGGGGAAATTAAGAACAAACTCTTCAGGAGGTCAAGAGTCAAAGGTCATGGGCTGAGGTGAGAATCTCTTGATGCATGACCACTGACCTTTCTTGCTGGGTGAGGAATACGACAAGCCTGAAGCGAAAGTAGGCATGATGACCTCGCCTGGTTCCGACTCCGAGTCATGACCGGATGGAACCACTCGCATGCGGATACGGGCCGGTGTTGAGCCAGCGCGGGCAAGACGTGGTGACCCTTCGCTTGAGAGATGACGTACCCTGACAGGCGAGGGAGAGCGACTCCTTGTCGTCTTGGTGACCTTGGTGGTGGTGGTGCGTACAACTGAAACACTTCCTGGGTCAAACCCCTGCAAGGTCACACCATCGAGGTGGATGACATCATCTTGAGATGGCTTCTGAACTAATCTGTTGTCATCTAGAATGTGAAGATAAGCCCCCCAAAGCTACAGACAGACTACAGACAGTGTTTACACCATATACAACTCATATGATAGAAAAGGAAGAGTGAGCACTACAAAGAGGAAAACGTGTCAAAAGCACGGGAACAGAAGACCATTTACAGTGTTTAGTGAACACAAGATCTTTGAGTGCCCAATACATTAGGGACTTTTAGATTTGCACGTCGACATAATGGACTGCTACGTGTCACGTCCTTTTTAAGGCACTGTGATGTCCTGTTAAGGTACTGCCAGTGTCTTAACAGGACGTCACACATAGCAGTCGACTATGTCGATGTGCAAATCTAAAAGTTCCTATTACTATCCATTGTAGTTGTTCTAGTGGATTTCTTCTATAGTTTGACAGTTGTAAAGATGTAAAATCTACATCGTCTTATAAATACTCCTGCTTCGATAAGATCTTCCAATCTTCCAACACAGAAAAGCAACACTGTTGCATACACATTTTACACTCTGGAAGCAGCTGGACTTTGTGCTTGATCGGTTTTGGTGTTTTAAAAGCATGTGGGTACAGTGTACGTACATTAAACATTAGGATGCAAAATTTTCCACGATTTAAACCATACCAAATCTATCTGATAGGTTCACAAAGAAAAGTAAAAGACAGAATGCACATAGGAGAGAGACTTGGATTGGCACTTTTACGTTCACAACAGAAGACGATGGAGAGAGGATGGTTTTTGAGGAAAACCAGGAGGATATTGCGCCATTTTAGGGAAGGAGAAAGTCTTTGAGTTAATGTCTCACCTGTTCCAGAGAACCCCGAGTCGTTGGTGACGATGAGACTGGACTGAGAAGACATCTTCCCATTCGGATGATACGATCCGTTCACTGATGACTGACTTCTGCAAGTAAACATAAACACATGGGAAGATGACAGCAATGTACATCTAAAGGTCATGATAATGCAAGGAAGCAATTGCACATTCTTAAGAGCAGATGTTACTGAAGCAAGCAATATACAGTAGCAGCTAATAACATGAGGAGTCTCAAGTATGAAACCACCAACATAATACCAACCACTAACATGTCACAGCCACCTTCTATTTACAGAATAATCACATAAATAATTTTAACATACAGATTGAACGCTCTTCTGGTGCTAAACAAGAACATATTGAGGTTTACTCAAATTAAAAACCAATGAGGTATTATGATGCTTTCTTATGAAATAGAATTAATTTCTGCCATAAAATCAGTGTTAAAAGAATATTCTGTTTGCAAGAGCTCTTATAGGCTTTGAAGTGATAATAATAAAGAAAATAAAAATAAAAAAAAACAATTATTGGTATTTTCTCCAAAGCCTTTTTTTCCAGATGGCTCTTTAGGAACCATGAGCTACTGTAAAAGCAGAATGTTTTACAAGATAATTTATTTTGCATACAGTAAATGAAGAAACTAATGTAAAATATTAATTCAAGACCTTTGCATAACTTTTACAGTAAATTACTATCTGTGCCCGTACTTTTTTTTGCTGCCATTAACCAGAGTACAATTCTTGTGTAAGTATCATACCTGTGTATTCTGAGTTGTCGATCATTTGAATTTTTATGTAATAGTTTTACAACATAATTGTGCATAGAGTAAATGAAGAAACTAATGTAAAATATCAATTTGAGAACTTTGCAGAACTTTTACAGTAAATTACTATCTGTGCCTGTACATTTTTTCGCTGCCATTAAACCAAAGTACAATTCTTTTGTATGTATCATACCTGTGTATTCTGAGTTGTAGATCATTTGAATTGTTATGTAATAGTTTCTGTGCTTGAGAAACAGGTAGGTCCCCTGTCCTGACACCATTCACTGTCTCTACAATGTCACCAACATGAAGCTGTGCTCTCGACGCCTTGCTACCAGGATTGATCTGAGAAAAAACAAAATAAACATTCGTTAAGATATAATTTCTGAAACTTGTGTATTGTTACCTTCCAAGTAGACAGACATGAAGACAAAGAAGATGAGAACTGAAGTAAAATCCAATTTAAACAATAATTATTTTGAGGCTTCAGACCAATTATGTGGATCATCATTGCTTTCCCACATCGTACAAAATAGAGAATCACAAACTATACGATTTATCAAATGTACACTGTAATTACTTTTTTTCTTTCTTTTTGATTGGTCTTTTAAGTAAGGAAGAGCATACATGTATACACCATCTTTAACACTTTGTTACTTTCTTTGCCTTTCTGCACAGTTGCTCATTTGTCACACATGCAAGTTTTCACAAAGCAATATGCACCAATTGACGGAAGGACTGCCTTGTGCAAAACAATTTTTTTTTAATAACCCAGTTCAGATCTTTATCTTTCGTATATTTGTAAAGCGCTTAGAGACATTGGTATTAAGCGCTATATAAAAATTAAATATTATTATTATTATTATTATCTTGATTAGCTCCATGACAACTTTGTTGAGAACGGTATGGATTATTCTTGTATTTTTAACAGTTAGGTAATGTTGAAGTCTTTGGTATCTATCATATAAGAGCTACAATGTGGCACAAGGAATTTTTGTGTAACATACATGTATATAAAAAGGGTACATTCTGTGTTGGATATACTACTGGCTGTGATAACCTTGCCCTTTGTGCATATTCTAAGTAATTGATCTCATTTCAAATGATTAAATGAATCACCAGGTTTTTATTCATAAAAGAACCAAAATGAAATATTTAATGTACATTTAAATGTATACCAGTAACACAATCACTTACATACAACGTAAATATAAATCACATGTTACCAAATAAGGCAAATATTATAAAACCCATCATCTGTATGACAAAAACTAGAGTAAAAAAAGTTAGACTATTTTCCTTTTTTTTTCTTTCTGTGAATCAGGCATTTCCTTTTAAACACAACAATCACCATACATGTACACAATACATGTATTCCCCTCCCCTAATCAAATTGAAATGGAGAAATTCCGCTACATTTCATTTCAATACACTCAGAGCAATTGCTTGCACCTGTCTTATAAACTAATCCTGACATAGGGCTGCGCATAGATTTGTCCCCTTTAGGCTTCTACTATGAAAAATTCTATTAAAAAATCTGCTCAACGATATCACATATTTGGTTGGACTGGAAACCCTGGAGAATAGAGGAATGCAGCATCCTGTCATAACTGATCCATCACTAACATTCATCGCTTGACAACATCATTTGTTTACTGTTCTAAAATGCCTAGACAAGTGTACTGGTCTATTAAAGCTGACATATACATGAACTTCATGTTGAATAAAATATTGCATAGTTGGCCTTTAAAGTCGACACACAAAGAATCAAAAATTATTTTGAATTGATGCAAAACTCATATCATTGCGAAGGGGAAGCCTTGCTGATCAAATACAACAACTCTTTTCCTCAAAATATGTTTGGGGCCCGCAGTAATCAACTCTCAAAAATATTAGTTTTGAGATCCAGATTTTCTGCCTTAATCAGCGGTCCTTTATAGAGCGTCAATATTTGTGACGTCACATACGGGACAGGGCTGGCTAGCTGCAGACTGCTACACAGCACTGAGCTGTTTGTCCAGTGTGTGACGTCACTATTCAGAGCTCGCTACGCTCGTGTGTTTGGCTTACGTTCGGGGCGCTTGGTGGTCTAAGAAGGGTCTTGAAAAATTGCATTTTACGCTTTTCCATGATATGATTTCTCAGCAAATTATTCTTGTTTTTCAAGAGAAAATCTTTCCATCCATATGTAATTTGTTCTAATTATCAGTTGTTAGTGAATTTTCTTTGTGTAGCTCCTTTAAAGATATAGACCAGTTCTGGTCATGCAATTGCATAGTGAAAGAAACATTGTGGAAACGATCAGAAAAGGTTGATCAATGATCATCTAGCATATAAATACTGCAAGGTTCTGGAATCATCAAAATGATAAGAAATTTGGCCCAGTCTTGGTAAAGTTACAAGCACTGTACACAGAAAGATGTATATGGGACTACCCTATATCTATCCAGTCCGGATAGATAAAATAAGTTACCAAATTTATCAATTAGTAGGCGGCTTCCCGGCAAAATTTGTATCATCACGCATTAGTCAAAACATATTCTTTCACATGATTGGTAATAAGAGCTTCCATTTCATTTTTTTAAAGGGGGCGATCCAAAACTGGTCTTGACCTTTAACAGAATGAATACATGTAGGTACACAATTACAATTTCCAATAGGATGTTTGTTTGATTTAATTTTGATAGAATTGTTAAACCAAGTAATAAATAAACAATTCCTGGTGCTATAGAACTTTACTTGATACTGCTCAGAAGTTTTAATACAGCAACTCATCATACAGTATGAGGAAAAACAGGAGAAAAAAAAGGAAAAATAAAAGGAGAATAAGCATGGGTAACAGGGGTACACACAAAGTGTACCCCCATCCCTCCCCAAAATGCTGCCCCTGTGTAAAAGTGTGTATACATGTAAATGTATACAATGTACATGTAAATGGAATGTATGGAAACCTACTACATGTACATGTGAAATAAAAAATAAAAAAATGTGTACAAATTTATGTAACTTTACACGTCTAAATTAAATCAAAATGTAAATTCTAATCCATAGTTCATATATACTATTTATTAATTCATTTAAATAAACAGAATTATAGAGAAAAATACTTTAAAAAATATACCACAAAGTGTCCTACATTTGTAAATTCTTGCTTGGTGCAAAGCCAAAGGTCACATTCATTGCCCACTGTATTCAGTCATCCCCAAGGAATTCAATTTCTGTCAGTCTCATATAATACGTCTTGATTTGTTTGGTTTCTAAAGGCTATCATAACTGAAATATGGAATTCCATTTGTTGACAGGACAGAGTTTGGCTACGGATGACAAGAGCTCTTGATTTATTGGCAACAAATGCAGGGCTGGACTTAGATGGGATTCCCTAGATGGGTACCGGTATAAGGATCGATGGAGAAAGAGGGTGGATGTGAAAATGGCAGAAGGATGCGGTAAGGTTAATGCTCAGAGCTCTAAAAGAGAAAGAAGCTGAGGTACATGTAGGACTAAGGGCGTGTTTATGCTTCACTTTTTCTGGCCAGAATCAGGCATCTGTTACGCTTTTAGTTTAAAACACGATTGCGTTCATGCTCACTTTTGTAGAATCACCGAAAAACGGCGATCATGATCGCCGATCGTAAACTCACAGAAAGATGCGTTTACAATTTGTAAACGCGTTTAAATGGGGTCAACGCACTGACCTCTAGTGGATCTACGTAGCATGCGCACACAGGTTTGCGAATCCAGCTGAAGGCCACCCAAGGAGAATTGCCTGGAGAAGTGAGCATGAACAGTGCACCGTGGAACTGCGATTACGATGAGCGTTTACGATGAGCGTTACAAATCGCTCATTTTGCCTTCAAAATCAAGCATGAACGCGCCCTAGGAGAGGTATGGTCAGCGGCTCACCCTACTCAGACAAGAAATTAAACAGGTGATTGAGAATCAAGATAAGTACTAAGCAAAGTAGAAGTACGTACATGTACATGTACATGTTTAAGAGACACTTTTTCACCCTAGAAACACGGTTTTCAAAAACATTTAGTTTAAAACACGGTTGCGTTCAAGCAATTTCAAGCAATTTGTTTTCTGTTTTTTTGTGGGTCGTAAAAATAAAAGAAATAAATGAAAAGATGAAACACTGAAAAAGATGTGCTTGAACACCACTCCTGCAGTAACTGTGTTTTTAAACAGCGTTTTGATTCGTGATTCTAGCTTCAAAACATCGCTTGAACGCACCCATATATAAAGAATAATAGAGGTGGAGAACTGAAGAATGAGCTAGAGTGACACAAACTAAAGTAGGGGGAGGGGAGCTTAGAGGACAAAATCAAGAAACAGACAGCTCAAGGGCACTGGAGACAAATGGGAGCAGGGGAGGGAGCTAGGAGAGCGCTCTACATGTAATATGTGACCTCCTTATCAATATCTGTGTAAAATATATAAATGATATACATGTACATGATTACAGAATACATGTACATGATTACTGAATACATGTATATATACAACAGTAGCACCACTGAATGTACACCTACTGAAGGCCCTACATGAACTATACATGTACTGTATGTGCCTTCTTTTCTTTCCTTTTTTGGAAAAGTTAATGATGCTATTCTTAATATAAAATAATCCTATTTGCAGCATGAAGAGGTCAATTCATATGTAAAGGGTTATTCAGTCAGCATATACATGTACATGTACATTGTGTACGTAGACCTCTGGCTGTTCTAATGCGATTCCAATCACAAAATGTTCATGTACATTAGACAAAATTATATACATGTACATTGTATGTACACAGATGGCTGATAATAGAATTCCAATCGCAAAATGTTCTTGTACATTAAAAATACAGAAGAAATTATGAGAAATGCATTTTGTATGGCAATTGAATCTCCACACATGACAGACGAGGTATAGATGAATCTATGCAAATATAATTCAATAACCTAGGGTAAGGACACTTTACAAGGCTGTAAAATTTTCAATGTCGCGTTCAACTTGAGGGAGACGGAACTCACTCAGTTATCGATTGTGATCAACTCCCAGCTGTCTGCATTCAAACAAAGTATAATGATTGTGGATCACACTACTCTACCAGATGAGAAAATTATTTTTATTAAATCCATATACAGCAAAAAAATATTATAATTTTCTCTATGTAACATTCTATACCATACACATAAAAATGATATTCAGTGGCTGCATATAATACACTCCAAGTAAAAACCCTGGGGTTTCGTCACAGTCACGTGTTTTTCGTTGATTGCAAAATAACTATCCATATTTAAAGCACACACACACAACGACAAAAACATGTCTGGAGTGTTAGTTTTTAATGCTGACAAAGACTTCACTGAGTTTTGCAGTCTAAATGCTCGCTCTCAAAAACAGCAGTGAAATCATGCATTCCGGTTTTAAGCGACTCTCCTCGCTTCCGTGCTTATGCATGTGTAGCAGCGACAAGTGGCGCATGCGCACAACTCACGCCAAAAAGAGATTTATCTTTAATTTTGCTAGTATAGTGTAAATGACAGTAATAAGCAACAACAATAGTTTTTTTCAATAGTTTTGGGGCTGTGTAAATGGATCCCATATCATGAAATCTACATTAATATAGTATGTGAAGGTCTGTATCACTCTTTAATTCCAACCCCCTCTAAAAAATGAGGAAGAAATCTTATTCCCATGCCAAGGCCAAGCTACCTGTAACTTTGTTATAATCAAAGGGATTGAATACTAAAAGCCCTCTAGGCAGTACAATATGGCTGTAATATTATACAGAAAAGAAATGCGCTGAAAGTCCCCCACGAAAAACAGCGATAATGCAACTGCCAATAATGCAGAAGCAATGGGATTTGACAAGCCGGAAGAAAGAGTTTAAAGGGATCCGGTAACTTTATCTTAGATCCTTTTAAAAAAAATCAACGGTTTTTGTAACACTACAGTCTACTGGGGAAAACGAGTATGGTGAAATCAGTCACTCAAAGATTTTTACTTTTTTGAGGCACTACATGATCATTTTTTTTAGGGCTTCAATACAACACCATATCACAGACAAAGATAACATGTAGACGTAAGGCCATGCATCTCAGATTTAACATTGTTAAACGATGCCTTTAAAAGGAATGAAAACAGGGATTGATAAAGGAAGAGAGAGAATGAGAGAGAAGGGAATAAGAGAAGGGCATTGATAGATGCCAAGCGATTTAAATTCACAATAGGTATTCATAGCACTTTTGGAATCACAGAATGCATACAGGGAAAGCCAATTTTAGGAATGTTTCTTTCACAAAGAGGTATACCAAACACTAGAAAAATAAAGCTCTTGTTTTTCTGAATGGTGCTATTTTTACTACAGTATGTACATGTCGGTCAGTAGTCTGTGATATACATGTAAAGTAGTCGGTGTAAAATAAAAATATATTTTTTGTGAGTGGAATGCTTTAACACTGCTTTTTATGAGTATTCAGGCTGTGTTGATGTATATACTAACAAATCTTATACATGTAGGTCACTAACTTGAGGGGGGAAATGGTTTGGACTTGCCAAATTACACAAATAAATAGAAAATATTGTTTCCCCGAGGATCAGAAGGGTCTTAAAGAGACTCGATAACATTGCCTCAGATTCTGAAACAAAATCCTGGATTTAGCTCATGCTTTTACAAGCCGATATACTGTCTGATTATCAAGATATTTATGATTGAAAATCAAAAAAATTTTTTTTTGTTGTCTGAACGGTTTTTATAACACTACAGTCTATTGGGGGAAATGAGTACAGTCACTCAAAGATTTGCATTTTTTGAGGCACTTCATGATCATTTTGAAGTGCAATTTGTTTAGGGCTTCAATATTACACCATATCACAGACACTGATAACACTTAAGGCCATGCATCTCAGATTTAAAATTGTTAAACGTTAGATTTAACATTGTTAAACGTTGCCTTTAACTATGGGTTAAGGAATATGAGTTAACACTCCTCTGGTCTCAGCAGACATAAATTACCTGTAGTATCAAGTCAAGAGGACTTGCAAGTATAAATCTGAATAAAGAACGTCATATATTCAAAGATGTTTACTCCAAATCAGCCTACAAACATACCCCAATTACCACGGACCATTAGCTCTAGAGCTCCTCTACTGAGGTAACAAGAGAGAAAGACTGCTCCATCCCATCAAAAAGACTACTTCTATAAACCACCAACCCATTATTTGCATGAACTATCCACTGGGTGATTTGAATAATACATTGTGTGTGTCAACCATACTTTCATTGAAAGAAACATATCAAGCATTTGACTGATTTCTATTTATGTGTGCAAATAAAACAGCAGGTTCAATCATTTTCAAAATTTGGTTTGTATGATAGTTTTAAGAGAAGAAATTCCTCCTGTTTTCAGAATTATTAGTCTAAAGCTGTATAATGTTTGTTAACAAAATTTGTTTAGGTTGCAAAGGTCTATATCTTTTTTTAAATATTATTCTATGTGTTATTGCATCTTTTATTTTTTATTTTCTTTGCAGATTCATGTAAGCTATTTCTTATTCTTGTATCATATGAAAACAAAAACAAAAACTCCCAAAAGTATTGTGTGCAAAAATCCATTTGAAATGTCTTTCATTCAGTATTTAATTTCTCTGTTTTCTTGATGCCTAAAATATATTACCAACTGTACTAAAAAACATTCTATTGTTGATACAAAAGGAAGCCCCCCCCCCCAAAAAAAAAGAGAATAAAAACAGATGTGTTAAAAATCGATTGCTCAATGAATGTTGAACAATCAACACTACGGTACTTCAAATTTCAACAATATCACAATTTTTTATTCATAACATTGCCTTGAAATTGCAACTGTATTATCACAAGTAATTTTTTTTTTTTACCCCAAATAAAAGTAAAATCCAACCAATACCATATAGGTTTCCAGGCTTAATCGGGACCAACTTTTTCGGCAGTTAATCTTGTTTGCCCTTTTTAATCAGGTTGAAACTAGATGATTCATGAACACTAGAGAAACAAGACGCAACAGAGAAAAATCAGCAGTGATTTCTTGAATTTCATAGATGATATTGAGCTGGAAATCGCCTAGAAATCCCAGAACCTATTTATTATGGTAGTTTGAGGTAAGATTATTATTTTTGAGTGCTAGATTTAAAATTGAGTAATTGAACAATTATTTTTGTTGTTGCTCCGTTTGATTTTGTACATGTCGTTCCTGTTTTCATGAAGTGACGGTAGTGAGGAAAATCCGCACGCAAATTGTATGGGATTATCATTCACTACCGTCACTTCGTGAAAATAGGGACGATGTGTGTGATGTGCTGAAAAAACCTAACATTACTCTTTAGTGTTAGATCAGGTATGAGATTCATAATGTTCAGGGTTAAACCTCATGAATTGTACGAGTGTTATCCACAGGGTTCCAGCAAACTCACGAGCCCTAAAAAATCATTCTGATCGCCCTCCCTAAGAAAAGTTAGAGTGGAGTGTACATGTACCCAAAAAATGTTACAGTTTATAATAATAAGGCCTATAAAGTATTAAAGGACCAATGAAAATTATTTTGAAAGAAATTCAGTGTTCACACAGAGACATGAAAGTAAATATAGCAATTAAAGCTAAGGGTAATCATTCAATCACTCTTCACACAAAACACCACTCCAAATGAATCTGTGTCATTAAAATTAACCCCACTGTCAAATTATCTCAACGAACGAACGTTGACCTAGAATCACAGACTTGTTGCTACTATACCACAGCTCGACCGGTCCACAGATTCAAATCACTGATGAAAAGCTCATATTTACCTTTGTATACAGAAACACCGCTCTGAGGCCTTTTGAAGGGATATATCCAAATTATACAAATAAATCCTGAATAAAGAGACAAAATTTGCTGCAAAATCAGTTGGACTGAGATGCTGATGTAGAAATGTTGGTTTGAAATCTAACGAGTCTGGCAAAGCATGCACGGAAGCCTATAGCAGTTGTGTGCGACGACGTACTGGTAAAAGAGTGGGAGGTACAAAGTAAAAAGGATGACTCCAAATACATGTGCGGAGGCCTTGATAGCTAGCTAGCACAAACCAGGTGAAATTGGCGTTGTAGAATCCATTTACTCTCGGGGAGAGCGAGCAATCCGTGTGTACATAATATGGAGTATCAATGTGTGGCTGTGTGTGTTGAGTGCATATAGAATAGAAAGCGTGGGGTATACACAAAAACACAGCTGTTGTATAGTAAAGTGGAGATGGTGCGTTTTGTGTGTGTGCGCCGGAGTACGTGCATGTAGTGTGTGTTTGACCCACAGGGTCTATTGTGATGCTTTACTTGGGGGTGAAACGCATGGGTGGCTGGAATCTTAAGAATGCAAATGCCTCCAAAACATTGGGACCAGCAAGTGAGAACCAGTCCCTCTTCTAGTCTTTACTTCCAGACCTTACTTAACCAAATCAATGGTATCAACTGAAACGATGCTACTGCAGACAAGATATCATACAATGTCTGTGCAATAAACCTAGACAGACTATTCATACGTACACTGTAACATGTACTGTAAGTCTTTTTTTTTTGCAGCTATAAAGACACAGGCTGTTGAAAAGACTAAATAATTACCCATTCCTTATTACCAATTTATAATACAGACACACATACAAAATCAATGTCTAGACCTCAATATATTCAAATTAAAGAGGAAGTCCACCCTGAAACTAGGCCAAATAACAAATATAACGTGTTTCACGTTTATAATTATTTTTTAAGAGGAGGTAGGGCATTACTTTTTATAATTTTGCTGTTTTTTCCAAGATGGCTGCCATGCTAATTATACTAGCTAGCCAAGCCTATTTATTCACAGATATTGTGGTATGTGAGTATACTGATGCAATGTATGACAACATTATTTGTTTAATACACTTTTTTTTCAAAAAAGTTTTTGGTGCTTTTGGGGCTTTTGGGGGGGGGGGGGGGCTCTTTTTCTGTATAGTAAATAGTAGCGGCCAGAAAGGAGACACGCAGGGACTAAAAACACATCATTTTTTTTTTATTTGGCCTGTAATTAACGTTGTATAAACCTCCCTTGTCTATTAACCGCACCCCTCTTTTTCGCCCTAAAAAAAAAAAGGTCCGTGTTAAATAAAACCCACGTGGGAAGGCCTTTCATTTAACTGCGAGGTGCAGCTAAATGTGTAAGATCATTAATGTAAATTAAAAAACAGTAGAGGACCTAGTATAGAACCTTGGGGTACACCATGTGTAGGAATTATTATTATTATTATCTACATATTGAGATCTATCAGAAAGATTACTTTCAAAACAATTTGACAGACAAATTTGAGTGTTGTTCTAGTTTCCTAGTGGTGATTCAACACACCGATTACTGAGCTGGGAGACATTGCCAGGCATAGCGCCAGGTGTAGGGGCATAAATCGAAACTTTTTGGTGTACCCTGTATAAACCGCACCCCCGACTTTGAATTTTTTTCGGCGGCAAAAAGTTGCGGTTTATACACCGTTAATTACAGTAGTTTTTAACAGAAGCAGAAAAATGAGAGAAACTGGTCCGTGAAAGTCTTTGGAAAATGGTAGCTACAGTAAATGCATTTTGTAGCGATTACACACAAGACTATCTGATAAACCCATAAACAATACAGTTATAAAATAAAACCAACTTTACCCACGTTAAGTCATTATGCTTGCGTAAAGCAATCTGTTCTTAGGATTATATCTTCTGGGATTTGTTATTTTAAATCTGATCGAGATAATCTGATTCAGATAAGAAGAAAGGAATTAGCATAATAGTGGTAAAAGCTGCATTTAGTTTAATACATAAAAAAAAAAAGATCATTGATTTTTCTCATGTTCAGGTGTTTCACTGGAAGTTGCATAGCAAAAAATAAAATAAATATCATTTACAATACTGGAAAAAAACCTATATCACATCAATGTTTTGGTGTGTCGTTGCATAGCAACTACGGGCAAACACTCATACAAAAAATGGAAATTGAAAAATCCACCTCTTGGAGTGTGGTATTTTCAAACACCTGCCACAATTTCATTGATTTCTGGAGTGTAAATGCAAACTGCAGTAAGATAACGATTTTTGCTTTAGTGACTCTCCTTGCTGTGCGCACTACTCACCATGGGTTTTTTTTCCAGGAGTGTATTAAAAAAATATCAAAATGGTGATTAAGAATAAAGATACATGTGTAAATGGGCCTACTTTCTACTTGTTTACTCAAGGAGATTACTAGAATGGTTACACAATTTCAGGATTATCCCTTAGGTGATGTATGCTCTATAATCTTATAGGACTTATTTCTTTGGAAAGAATGTGAAAATTAGCATATAGTGGTCATCTTAAACTTTGTTTACTAAAGAAGATCATTAAATTGGCAATAAAATCTCAGGATTATCCCTCCTGTAATTCATGCAGAGACTTAATTTAACTCTACCACTTTAAAGCGCTTTCCTCCAAAGCTTCTGTTGTCCTGCCAGAGTTTGATCTGCTTCCCCTAAAGCTGTGCATGCTCCTGATTGTTATCAATAAGTAATACCATCATTGGAGTGTTATATCGAGAACCATAGGGTATGCATCGCTATTTTTCTTGTTGTCTTCCTCCTTTTTTAATGAACATATTTTCTTTAAACCATCAAGCTCATAGTTATAATACTGGTAGCATGATAACATTTCCAGAATGAAAAGTAACATCCTGTCATCTAAAAAAAAGAAATCACCATTTGTTGAAGTGTTGCATGAAATTCCTTGCCCTCTTCGTTTCTAAATTCATTTAAAAGACAGCTTAAATTATACCTGTTATAGGTTATCATTATTTCATCTTTTTTTTTAAATTCAATTTTCAAACTCAATATACCCCAACAACTTTGTTTTACCTTTTTGTTCTTCTTCGCCAAAATATCAATCTTATAACTTGATCATTCTTGGGACCGTCAACCTGTCAAGCCTCAACACGCTTTTAATGATGGCTCTTTTATTCTTCATATTTTATATGAATTCATTTAATGAACCTTGTATTTTACCTCAAAATGCTTTGTACATGTATACATCTGAATGTTTTGCCCAAGGAATAAAGAATGATAAAATAGAAGGCTACATGCTTCTCTTTACAAAAGAGCTTTGAAAAGGAAAAAATTTAAAAAGCTCAAAAGGTTTTCTATCCATTATTTCATACTGGAATTAGCACTAATCAAAACATCTGACATTGCTCAATAACTGTAATTTTTTCTCTATTTCCATATGATTTTCCTGCTCTTATCTGATGCCATAAAACAAGGACAGGTGAGTTGGAACTGTGTGCGGATCGTGGTTTAATTTGAAATATTATTCCCTTTTTGTATTGAAACATAACACTGGGTAGACTATGACTAATATTATAGTAAAATGAGATTGGAAAAAGAAAAAAAAACAACCAAGACATTAAGAGAAAGAGATGCGATGAAATTGGCAACAATAGTCAAATTTGACTAACAGCCATTATAATACCATGGAGATATCTCCATGATAATACCAAACGAAGAAGAAGAAGACATAAGTTCTACATTGAATAAATACAAATTGGCTGAATAGAATCAGGGAGGTGAGACTATATACCATGTAGATGAAGAGCTTCAAGATGGTGTTCAAATACTTACAGGTTACAGAGTGGAGCTTTTCCAAATCAGTTCTTAAATCCAAACTACCATAATCACTTAATCTATAAATACTTCTTCAAACACAAACTATAGAATTTGCACAAACACTGGATGTACACACAGACAGTTGTGATGGTAAGCAGAAGTTTCAAACTTTTAACACAACACTGATTATTCCTGTAAATATACACACAATCAAATACACATGAATGCTATACATGTATGCTGGTTCATTGCAATCTAAAGCAGATGAAGACTTTTTATCTGTGTCCAAGAGGTGTGTACATATAGTCTATGATTACAGACCTCTTTGATATGGTACATATATGTATACAGGTCTGAATCCTAAAGTATACACGTCAGAGATATTTTTTACATTTATTAAAGGAAAATAAAACACTACTCGATAACTGTATTCAACACAAAAAATAAATAAAGTGTCAATGTTTCAAAATGTACGATTGTGGTGGGTCTCTTCTTTTTAGAGGAACTATAATTATATATGCTATCTATAATATATTTTGATTATTGCCCCAAGGCCCAAAGGGAGAAGGCACTTACGTGTAGGCAAAAAAGAAATTAGTAATATTGTTGTACCTGATAAACGGAAGAGTTGTCAGTGAATCTGTCACAATCCACTGCCAACTTGAGATTTGCATCTAGATTACCAATCTCATATTTTCATATATTTTAAACTGTCTTATTACTTTTGCCCTTCTATTTCTCTTACTTTCCTGCTTTCATATGAATAAAGTTGAACTCAATATGAAGGTTGGCGTGCCTTTTAAATAAGATGAGATCAGTTTAGAAAATATTCGCTATGGTATGAGATACATATAATGGATAAACTTTTTAACAGAGCAATATTTTAAGTATTACATGTATACACTGTATATTCACATTTACATGTACATGTAGTTCACTCATAGCTCTACAGAGTACCACAACCACCAAGCAGGTTATAATTGTAGACGATGTATTCAAATATATGTAGCATTATACAACACCTACGTGGATCCTTGTCATTTGATTGGAGAATTGTTGGTCACATGATATTCAATAGATGTTATATTGCACGGTCGTGCATTTTTGGTTATATGCGCCGTGCAATTTTGGTTATATGCAGCCTGCGTTCCTCTCAGCCGTGCGCGCGCGTATCCCTGCGTGTATCTGACGCGCAGGCAATCTGAATGTAATCGAGAAGGCTCGACTCCAACTTTAATTTATCTTTGATATAAGGAGTAAAGCATAATTTGTTGATAACGTTCTATTAGATCTTCTTCGATGTTGTATAAAACAAATAATGAATGTTTTTCATTCATTCAATGGTGCGAATATTTTCATTCGTTGAAAGATTAACGTTGATTCTATTCAACTCGGCTGACGCCTCGTTGAATAGAATGTTAATCTTTCAACTCATGAAAATATTCGCACTATTGAACTCATAACCATTCATTATTTGTATACTAACCTATCCTAGTAATATGATTATTTTTGACAGAATCTTGCAAGTTTTTTCCCCAATTATTAACTTTTTAAACAGAGAGCATCGTAGCAATTGAAATGCAACAACTTACAAGAGAGAAATTCAATAGTACATCAAATACTAAAGGTAATAAATATCTAGCTGTACATGAAAATTATGTGTAATTATGTTCCATTGTATATGTACAGCATACATTCATGATCACAAGTACATGTATCCTGCATCCTCTAAGAGGCTGAATATATAGACTAGTTAATGGGGAGGGATA